AATGGCCAGTATTTGTATAGCACTTTTACTAGTCCTGCCTAGGGACCCCAAGGCGCTTTACACACCCAGTCATCCACCCATTCACACACTGGTGGAGGCAAGCCACAGTTGTAGCCACAGCTGCCCTGGGGGAGACTGACAGAAGCGAGGCTGCCATATTGCGCCATCGGCTCTTCTGGCCAACACCAGTAGGCGGTAGGTGAAGTGTCTTGACTTGCCCAAGGACACAACGACCGAGACTGTCCGAGCCGGGGGTCGAACCGGCAACCTTCCGATTACAACTCCCAACTCTTGACCCACGGTCGCCCCACATTTAGCATTTACTATATGTAGGAGCAGGTTTCTACTGAACTTTGCAGCTTTGATCAAGCCTGCTGCTCTTCCCTTCAAAAAGGTTTTTATACAACTGCCTTATATGAGGTAAGGGCACAGGTTAGGTTACAATAAGGTAACTGCTTGTTGTGATAGAATAGGATCGGACAGAGGGCAGGCATATAAGGAAAATACTGGTCAGGATATGGTTTGACCCCAGAATAACGCCAACCCACAGCTTTACCAGTTTGCTTTACTCTCACCACTCCTGTAGTTTTATTGACCCAGAGCAGGAAGCCAGGTCATATTATTGACGCAGGCCTCTTGAAGCTGTGTGGTGCTTTTAGGGTTAGGGTTAGGGTGATAAATTGTAGGTGATAGCAGGCAGATGGTTTGAAGAAAAGGTCTAAAGATATTTTCCACCTTTGAATGGCTCCAGGTTGCTGACAAATGCAAAACACCTCTGTCATATATCCATCCTACAAACTGCTCCCAGAGCACCATATTAGTCATAAATCTGTAACGTAGGGCCAGTGCAGCTGATAGTACCAAAGGTAGCCTGCAAGCAATGAAGGAATTTTTCTCTCTCTTCATGAGCTGAAAATCCTACATCCCTCCAATAAATAAATAAACTAATTAATAAGTAGTGCTTGTGAACGCAGCATGAACATGAACTGTCCCCTAGCTTCTTAATCAAAGCTTGCTTTAAGTGGCACCTATGGCCCATTGTTCAGTCTGTTCTGGCATTGTGCTCCTACCATTTGTGGACCACATTAATTTCCCGTGGTTGTTTGGCTGTTTAATGGTGGCCCTACCCTACTGCTGTCTTGCTTTGGCTTATTTAATTGTGTTTTAGCTTGACAAAATATTTTAAGTTGTTCATCACATCTGTGTTTTATATTTTTAACTGAGCTGCCCTCTCTTTATTTATTGATCTGTTTTTTTTGTGAGTTTTTCTTTTAGAAGGTAGAGGGGCAAAGAGAGGCGAGGCTCTTAAAGCTTTAAATCTTTCTGATGCTGTAGTTTTTTGTTTTTTTTAAATTAATTAGCCAAATAAATTATTAACTTTAATCTGCCATGCCTCGCTTCGCCAGTAATGAGCTTGTGTGCATTAATGATTGGTAACTACACTTATTAGGGTGATATTTCCTATGCTGAAATCCCTCAGGTGGTGTTGCTTGTCTCCTTTCTTCCAGTTTTTTTATGCCAACCCCATCAGGTTCCCCCTCGTTCAGGTGCAAGACGATTTAGATGTCACCTCAGTACTTGGGTGATAGAGTTGACTGAAGCTAACAGTAGTAGGACAGGCCCTGTGCTTGATCAGGGAAAAAGTAAAAGTGGATTTCAACCCAGCTCTCTTTGGCCTTAATCTGCAGGATTAGGGCATCAGAAAGTTCACTCCAGTGGGCTGAAGTCTGCATGCGTAGAAATGTGTTTGTATGTTTGTGTGAGAGTGTGCGTGCATACTTTCTTTGTAGAAAACATACGTTTAAATTGAATGTGCTTGCATGTTTTTGCACATCAACATAGGTGTGAAACAGTTGGTGAACTCTAGTATCCAGAGCCACATGTGAAGCAGCAGCAGCAGGCAGAGGGACGGGAGGGGAGAGAGCTGCCCGTGGGTTAAGAGCTAAAGCCGCTTGGCCCAGATGAAGATGGCTCTCAGGCTCTCTGCCAGTCAAAGCCTAGCCAACAGCCCACTCTTACTGACAAGTCAGGGGAACGGCGGGACAGGTCACACGCACAATTTGTATATATTTACGGTATATAACAGGAAGTGCAAAGTACGATGCCTCAAGAATGATGCCTGTACTTGAAATGTAATTAAAGATTAAACATTTTATATGAAATATTGTTTAAATTACCTACTGGCTACCAAAAGGTGACAAACCCACAAAAAGTATCACCTAACTTTGCAGTTCCCATGATTTCCATAGAAGCCTTTTTTTGCCTTGGGTTTTACACCCCACAACTTTACTGCTTTGATTCATTTTCACAGCTTTCATCTGATCATTTTCAGCCACAGCAGGCGTCCATTTTCAAAGAACCACACGAAAAACACTCTGAACACCAGTTACTCTCACAGGGCCTGGCACCGAACAGCAGACAGGCGCTGTTAATGAATACAGCGACGCATTTAACAGCTAAGAAAAAAACAAATATCATCTCAAACCCCAATGGAGACCAAAACAGAGCTTAAAGAAAAGTAAATATTGGACCTAAACTCTACTTTGTTGCTCAAAGTGTAACTTAATCCAGGATGTTTCACTGCCATCTCTGATTGAAAGTTTTAATGTTTACTGCATTACTGATGGGAGTGGCTTTGTTCTCTCAGTACGCACAGCAGGAGTGACATCATAAAACCACTGGAGATCAGACTGGGCTGTCACAGTTTGAGTGCACCATTTATTTATCCACCTCCCCTTTCTGAAATGCTTTTGCACAAATATGTTATTCAAATCTATTGCATAAATAGACAGTATAAAACATGTATATACAAAAGACACAAGATATAGCTACTGTGAGCCATTGGGCTTTATACTGCTTCAACCCCTTTGGATTGTAAAGTCCTGTTTTGAATCTTCAAGTTGAGTGTTGTCGTTGTCACCATCCTGGTCCAATTGTCGACTTTTTTCTAAGAAGAAGACTGTGTGACATGTCTGACAGACACAGCAATGTCTGGTCAAATTCTCTAAATGCATTCATGAAACGAGCACTGCACCAAATACCTTCTTGCAAGTGCTTTGGCCTCTAGCAGACTGCTTTGGACACCCGTAGCTTGAATGGCCAACTTGTCTGGAGAATGTTCACCTTCAAAGTAAAACTTCTGAAATATGTTTGTTGCAGCAGTGAGGCACAGCTTTTACTCTGAAGGTAAATGTCTCCAGTGTGCAGCACCCTTTTTGAGGTTTTACTACCACAGATTAAATAGCGAGTCTTTTAGACAAGTTGGTGTCTTCTCTGAAAATGTGCCTGCGACAATCTGTTAGTAGCAAAAAGGGATCATAAAGATGGTTTTGCAAAGGATGTCATCTGGCAACAGTCAGCAACCTTCAGCAACGAGTCACCGACTGGGATCCACGTCTTTCCTTAGCGACCAGAAGACCTGTGTGACTGAGGCCTAAGTGTTTACAGAGCAGAGGGCTTTTTTTCCATAGACTTCTATATGATCATTTATTGCAATCAGCAGTTTCAACTGCTGATGGCTGCAAGTCCAACGCACTTTCGTGTTGGTTTCACTTTTTAGACATGAAAGTTTCATCCATCTTTTATCATTTCTGTGTTTATAATCTAATATAACCCCATGTGTTTTAAGCACCCTCTCTCTTATGCTTGCAACATTATTATTCACTCCACCACTTGATTTTTCCAACATTCAAATTTTCTTTTTCTCATCTTTTAGTCATGGTGGAGTTTGATTTTTTTTTTCATTTAAATATCAGATGAGCCAGAGTGAACATGATGTAATGTGTAGCTGTTTTCTGGATACTGTTGTCAGGATCAAGTCTCTCTGAACATCTGCCAAACCTCAGAGATCATCTTACCAGAGTTGGACACACAGTTCACAGTGACATAATGTCAAGAGTACTTTAAAAAAAAAAAAAGCCTTTCTCTCTTCATTTCATCCATTAAATGCCAGTTGTGTTTTTCGCCATGCCAGGCAGGTGGTGTGGATTAGTGATGCTCTCTAAATTTCAGTACAGGATATTATACACAGTTCAGATTAGAATATATCATCAATGAAGCCACAGATTTGGATTTTCTTTTTTACTTTTAACCATCAACATCATGCATTTTTTTGTTAGTGTCTTCCTTAATTGCTTCATTTTCACTGTGATTCTTTACATCACTCACTTTATCATCTATATATTTTCTTGATTAGCTGTCATCCTTTTTTCCTCCTCTGCCACAACCAAGCCGTTCTATTCTTAAATATTTCTGTCTGCAGCCGTGTTATTTTGCATTCCTCAAAAAATTGTCATTTCGCTGAAACATGGAGTGACCACAGCATGATAATAGCAAACTGAAATGTGATTCCTAACCAGAAGGGCCCAGACTTGGTAAAGTTGGAATACATTTAAATATAATTGACATAAATGGTCTATTAGAGGTTAAAACATAAGTAGATAAACCTCTTAAAAGAGGGTGTTTTTATTACTACCCATACATTTCCTTAGACCATTTTCAGCCGAACAAAATATATAGAAAAACAATAGTATATCTTGCACAGTTTTCTAGGAGACAAAAAGTCTTTTGGCACCCTAGGATAGTTCAGCCTGTGTGGAAACAGATTTAAGTTTAGAGATATGCAAGTGCAGCCTGTAGCTCCCATACAAATAATGGGTTACGACCACATAGGTAAATATTTCAACACGTTGCAAGGGGAACTGTAACAAAAGAGCAACAAACAGACAGTAATGCAATCTTGACTTCTGTCTAAAAAGAACATCAAAAGCAATGCTTAATCTCAGGAGGGAATACTTTGTCATCTGATGTGCATCCTCTCTGTCTCTCAATCCCTCTCCGTCCGTCTCTCTCGTGATGAGATGGATGATGATGACTGTGGGTGAGGGAGAGAAAAGGGAGGGAGGGAGAGAAGGATAATACCTTCTGAATACATGATGAATGTATTCATCAGGCTTAAACTGACTTGGGGGGGGGGGGGGGGGGTGAGTGGTGTGCAGAGACAGAGAGAGCATGCATGTGAGTGACACCGAGCACTATCATCAGCTCTACCCTGCGGCCGCTCTCAGTCTCTCTATCCTCTTCCCAAAGAGAGACAGAGGAAGTCACGCAAGTTAAAAGAATACACATACACAGCTTTCCTTTTTCTCGTGCAGCCAGAGGCAGGAGGACAGGAGCTGCGAGACGCACGAGTAAAGCGCAACTTGTCTTTGGCTGCTGCCCACCCAGAGCTTTTTACTCAGCAACAAGCTCAAGAGCGGTGCCACTCAGTGCGCTCAGCCTGAAGAGGACAGAGGATGCTAAACAACATGACGGACTGTGAGGAGGGAGAGGGGGGACCCAACAGCCAGGGTGAGTGACGAAACCTGCTGCCGAGTGATGAGAAGGGAGTGTGTATGTGTGTGTGAGTGCGTGGACCTCGGTGCATCAGTCTCAGCGTGGGTGCTGGAAGGGAACGCGCACGTGTCAGTTAATGAAAGTTAGAGAAACAAAATGATGTCAATGCAGAAACGTATAAATCGGAGTCATTTATTGTATTTGCATGAGACCTTTCAGATAGTAACTGTAATCTGAATAGGACTAAATTAAGTCCAAGTGGAGGTGTCTGAGATCAGTCTGCTACACCTTCACTTTGCTCTGATGCGTTTCACCTCCTGAATTTCATATGTAAACCTTCATCTGCTTAAATAGTTCAGAAATTTGCTTCTTTTTAGCTGATTGGCTGCTGCTTTTCGAAAAAAATAAAAAGGCTGGTTTAGTCAGAAGCTCAGTGATATATGTGACTCAAATGTGGTCCAATTCATCCTGCAACTGTAGATTTATACAAAAGGTTCTACAAAAAATAAATGTTCCCAGAAGACTTGAGTGTAGCCAGAAAAAACAGCCTTTCTTTTCCCATCAGGAACATCTTACCCAGGGGGCAATGTCAGCCTTTCATAAGCTTGCAAGTGCATGTCTCTGAGTGTTTAAATACAGACTGGGTTTTTATTTTAACCTTTTCTATTTGCTGAAATGATTCATTTCCTTTTTTTTAAAAAAATATGTTACCGGTACAAACACTACAAGAATGCTGACCACTGGTCACAGTTGGTATTTTTCCCCATTTTTGGACATTAATTATTCATGGCAATAATTTTAAGTTGCAGCCTTGGTTGTAACAATTTTTCTCCACTGTGTTTGTGTTCACGTGTGCACCGTCATCAGGGAGCCATCCACCAATTATGTATTAAATTATCTTTTTAATTATGTGAGGGTTTTTTAAATATTTGACAATATGTTAAGTCTGTATCTGCGCCATTTGAGTTTCAGTCATTTAGACCTAAATTATCTTAGTGTGTTTTGATTATTTCCTTTAAATATGACACCTGTCATTTATACAGAGCAATATCACTGTGGCTCCTTATTTTGATGAATTCTGTTAATTTAATTTGGTATGGCCCTATTCAGAGTCTTTGTCTTAAATATACTTGTTCTTTTAAAAGTCACATAATGGGTTTTGTTAAATGATTATAGACAACAACCCTGATGTGTAATAGGAAGAAAATAACCCACATGAGGATTTCATTCTGATTTATACATCTGGGCTGATTTGGCACTCCACTCAAGGCCTGTTGCTTCAAAAGATTAGGGGAGAAAATTGGATTACAAGAACAGTTTATTTCTATTCTCTATACACTATGACTGAGTGTAAACTCAGTTTGTTTCTCCATTTTCTAAGAGCTGAGCATCAAGATAATCTCTAAGCCATATTCACTGGCTACATGTTTTATACAAATACTATTATGTGTGTTTTTCGATACCTGGGAAGATATCTATGATGAGATTTGAGATTAATCTTAATTTTTTCCACACAATTAGAGGTGAACACAACAACAAGTGGGGGGAAATGATTTTTTTGTTTTCAAATTAAAAAATATATATCATAGCTGTCATATTCTTCATTGGAAAAATAACTAAAAAAAAAATCCTTTACATCGAAAACTGCTTCACACAAAAAATGGCTTTAGTCTTCAAAGATCTGTGTACACTGTCCAAAGTTACTTTCATCTGTTTTAATCTGTATTCATTCATCATTCACTGTTTAAAAGCAAAGGCTTATATCAGCATTCCACCCATTCATGCCAAATCCAGGCCTTCTCTTTCCACTTACATAAAAATGCAGTTTGACAGTAGAAGGTGAAGGTATATTCCCCAGAGCTGTGAATTGCTTGTTTTTCTCAACTTATTGTAAGACTCATGAATCCATATATATATATATATATATATATATATATATACAAATAAGCAGATCCTGCCTTTGCTAGAATTTTAACTCCCTGTGCACTACAGGGACGGTGACCTTTTGCTTTTTAAAGGTCATGATGTGAGCGACACCATCGCACCACAGGGGTAAATAATGAGGTGGCATTCAGGGTGCATACTGGACTTGTATAGAGCCACACTATATACAATAACGACTGTCCAAGCCAGGACATCACCTGGAAGTAAATAAATACCATCTCATTATAGTTGTGGCGAGTTTAAAGTGAGAACAAGTGGATGGATTGATGAGCTCCCTGGAGCCCTCATACTGACCACTGGCAATCAGAATTAATGCGTTCTAATCAATAAGCTCACCAGGGGGGCTGAGGTGAGATGAGGAAGCTATTTTTAAATGAATAGCTTCCTCATCTATTCAAAATTAAGTATTTTTAAACCTGCTGCAGGTTTAAAAATACTTAATTTTCTTATATTGTGCAGAAATATTTGTAGATTTTGAGCTCATTACTGATGAACCCTCTTTTAGCTCTGTCTGTAACAAATGTAAATTACATTCATAACTCAAATTTACATGTAAATAAATGCCTGTAAATGTGTTCCAAAGTAAATGTAATGAAATTATCTCAATTAAAGGAACTCAATATGGGTCCATTCAGAATTATAGTTATGACAGGTTTATTGTCACTGATGCTTTAACATGTATGTACTCCTTAAATTATAGCTGATAATAAATAAAAGTAGACTGAAAATATTCACTTACGTAACGAGGCAAAACTCACAGAAGTTCTAAGCAAATATAAACAGACATCAACTGTCTCTCAACATTAACCGTAACATGACAGAACGACTATATTATCATCGTGTCGCTTACATATCGTTAAATTCTGTGTGTACTGCAATTGTTATCAAACCAGTCAAATCTTACTGCACCAGCAGGGTTTATAGCTACAGCCACCAAAGTGCTGTTTGCATCATCTGTAGCAGATGGCACAGGAGATAAATGAAGGTCAGAGGTTAGCATCTTACCATGAAACTCATAGACGAAAACTAATATAGATTGTAAACCTTTTAAAAAATAAAGCAAAGCTACGTAAAGCCACCATATTGTATCTTTGGCTGGAACGCACCAAAACCAGCAACCACAGACATACTGTTTAGTTCAGCTTCTGAGGAATAGATGTGAGTGTTTATTTGGCACTTTTTAGTGTGTGTTATTGCAGCTGAATGCTTTTTGTCTGTCTTTTTGTTTTTAGCTAACTGAAAGCCGTTTAATTGATTTTAAAGTTTTCCATAAAAGCAAGACTGCTAATCATCTCTGCCTCTGTCACCAGAACTGTTGGTCCATATCAGCTCATGGTGACTTCTATGACATCAGAATGACATCAAAATTCATTATTTGAAGGCCCTAACTGCTGTATCTGCAAAAAAACAAACAAAAAAAACATCTGAAATAAATGATCAGGGCAGCATCAAAGTCAGTCGGACTTGTTATGTGTAAGAATGCCAAAAATGCATCTAAATGTTGCTGAAATTGTTGATTTTTTTTTCCCATTTTACTTATCTTAGAAATCTTCTTCTTTTCTGCAACACTTAGATGAGGTGCCAACACCCCCAGGGTTGAAACAAGGGTCTCGCAGCCAGCTGGTGGCCCTTATATCAATCACTGCATGTTACTGGCATTTATCACTTCCAACGCGGTCGTTCTGACTAAATTGCTTCTCTGAGCTGCTCCCGCTGTCACTCTCTCAGGTGGCTGATTACCAGCTGACACAACAAACCACACAAGACACAAATCGGTTGATTGTACTTAAAGGTGTGCGCTGGCATTTTTTCTAAATATGCCAATTTACAGTCAGAGCAATATATTATAAACTGGCTCTGCATGAGTGGGTTTGTTTGAGAGAGTTCACAGCAGCATAGTTTGAGCACTTGCTGAAACAGTTTTATACCAGAGTGAAACATCAGTCTGATTTCATCCACTGACAGTTAACCCCGGGCACTATCGGCTCTGTGTTAGCTGCAGCTTACATTGCATCAGATTATATTTTCATTCGGCTGAGCCTTTTTTGAATTTCCCCTGTAGTCTCAGTGGTCTAGGAGTCTGGCGAGCTCAGCAGGGGCACAGGGCTGCCAAGCCATCTCTGACTTATTGTTTGAAACTGTGTATCAGCATGTAAGTGGGCATCTTTCAGAAGGCAGACAAGCACCAAATTGTTATTGTGTTCCCTTGATATGTGTTATATTTGTTCTCCTGCACTAAGATTAATGCAAATCAGTCATGTCTGTAAGTGGTAGTCTTTGTTAACTAGCGATTTTTTATGTTTAGATGGGCATAAGTAATTTTGATCTGCTCCATTAGAGTGAATCTTAGCTACATATCTGCACTACAGTGCACTGATGGACTCAATCTGGTCACCTGGCACATTTGCACTGTTTCTCCCCTCCTTTATAGTGGACACAAGCAGCTATGAAATCGTATACATGGTATTATCTCATAGTGCTGCATTATATAAACCTGACCTCTTAATGCCATATGAAGGATTTTAATGTCGCTGCTTCCCTGAAATTTCACAGCTGCATCCTCAGCTGATTTACATTTTAATAAACAGAAAATAATCTCGCCATTTGGTTTGCCTTGTCAAACTTTGCAGATTAAAGCGGCTGTAATAACAAGGTGGTTACAAATGAAACAACTGAACAGTGAGCAACAGGTAGAAAGGCTATCTCGGGGATTTTCTGACATGCTGTCCTGCTCTGTTCTGTGACTGAGAAGAAGAAACAAAGGAGCACAGAAAAGTCCAAAAATCAGTTCTAGAGGTCTACCCGACCACAGGGCAAGACACAGTCAGGACATGACAACAAGATCTGGTGAGGTAGTAACTAACACAACGGAAGGACCGAAGGACAAGAGGGGAACACAAAAGGAACTAAACAATTAGTGATAATTTTGCAGATAAGTTACATTATTATTATGAATTATATTATTATGGCCATGATACAACATGCATGATTATGAAAAGTGACACATAATGAACATGTTTGCCCTAGGTACTTTACATTTTGACTATAAAACATGCATAAGTAATTTTTTT